TGTGTTCATCAGTCAATTTTAAATTTAATTTTACATTTTAGCTTGGACTAGTGGATCATCTGCCTGATGGTTATGAACATGGGTGTAAGAAAATATCATTTAATTAATTCAAGCATCTTAGCTGAAAACAACAATTGTGTTTCATGTCCTACCCATGGGCTCATCAGCCACAGAGATGCGCAGACACAGTGGACGTGGCAGAGAGAGACGAGCTCGGCTTTGGATGGGAGTGTCAGGTATAAAAGTGACCGGACCATGCTCTGGACAGTCCGAGGTATATGAGCGCTCACATAGTGTGCACCCTAAGTGGACAACAAAAAGTAGGTCAACACTTAATGTCAATTAAGTTCCTTAATCATCCGACAGATGAACATGAACTCACAGATGGTGTAGGCATTGACCATGTTGTCTTTGTCGGAGGAGGAATCCTCCAGCTGCAAGGTGGAGTTAACCAACACCAGGTTGTTCTCTGGGCCGAGTGACACTTCTGCAGTGATGGGGGACACGTTCACCGACTCCAGCCCCATCCCTGAGTGTCCGTGAAGAGGCACCGACTCCAGCTGGCCTTGATTAGCCATGGAGGAAGTGAGCACCACACTGACGACTCCGGAGTTCATCTCCCCATTTGAATGAAGCTGCTCTCCAAGTCCTCCTGCTCCTGGCCCGGAATTTCCAACTCGGCCCCCCATGTGATCTGGCTCCATAACCACTGGTAGTTCCAACACAGGAGGTCCATGGAGAGGCAACACCCCACCTGAGGAGTCCACACCGGTCAGACCCTCGTGTGGCTGAGGCTGCCTCCCACCGCCGAGCTGCTGCTGCGAGTCAGACACTGTTACCACCCCAACTCCCTCCATTGAGGCCAGCTCCTCCCCCATCCTGTCAGGGGACATGGGGCTGTTGACACGTGACTCCATAGATAATCCTGTTGAGTCCAGTTCATGAGGACCGGTCTGGTGGAGGTCTGCCTGACCAGTGACCTGTCTGGAGTCCATGGGTACCAGGCTCTGTTCCAGCGGGCCTCCAGGGCCACTGTAGGGGTCCAGACCTGAGGGATTGTTGCTGGCAACAGACAGCGTTCCATCGATGTTGAGACTGCTGGGATGAATGTACTGAGGGGGTGGACGGTCTGCTAGATATGACAGGATACCTACAGAGGGAGGAGCGAAATGTTGTGACTGAAATCAACTGAAAATGATGACCATAACCAAAGCATTAAAATTCATTTTTTTTAAAAACCAACAGATTCTATTCATATTCCACAGATTGATAAAGTTGACTACCTGGTAATATGTGTCTGAAGTAGCTGCCCTCCAGGTGAGGATACGGAGGAGGCGGGAGGGAGTAATTCCTCTCTGGAAGGCCACACATCACCCCTCTGTCACTCAGCGGACCCATTGGGAGCATCAATGAGAGGGCAGATGGGAGGGAGCCCAGTGAAGGACCCAAACTAGGGATGGCTACTGGCATGCCTAAAAAATATTTTCCAGCAATAGACATGGTAAACAACAATTTACTGTTTGCTTGTGCCTGAATATTAACCCAACACTATGTGGGTTAATATTCAGGCGCAAGCAACCGGTGCATATTTAATGTGGCCTTTCATTTATGGATGGGTTTTTCATACCTGGAGTGGGGATGGGGTTGTGTGTCGGGGATGTGGACAAACCCAGGTGGCTGGCACTCACTGAGGGCACACTCAGCTGGTCCATGCCCACAGGACTCAGGTTCATGTCGTTCATCCTTGTAAAAAAAAAAATCATCATTATTATCAATTAAAAATATTTTTTTCAAAAACAATAATTTAAGTCTGACTTCTCCGCGTTCGTATCAACATTTACATCCCAAACAACACTTGTTGTTGCGTTATAGACAAGATTAAACAGTGATAGCTACATGGACTTACTTCACTTCAACAACTGATGCCCATCAGTAACATTATCTTGACGAAAGGTACGTCCAGGATCCCCTCACTGTGAACATTGAAAAGAGTTTAGGTCCCGGTTATTGTACGTCACACTAGAGAAGCGTAGGAACAGTTTTTTCCACAGTTTCAAAACACTGTTTTGCTGCTCAATGCTAATGTTAGCTTTGCTAACTTGTATCTTCATACACATTAAACAGAGACAACGTAGCGGCTAGAGTTTAACAATCTACAGAAGTAACTTTTCGATATCATTTTTTTAACTTAAAACAAAACATGGAGCGTTTTAGAAGAAAGCACGAGTGAAAACAATAACATACCAATACAATACCTCCAAAAAGGGGGCCATGACAGCGGAGAGTCGCACTACGCATGCGCTGCGAATGAGGCTGATCTCAGGTCAGATTTTTTACTGCGCTTCACTTCCGCCCCAATAAACTCATACTAAATTCTTTTTAAATGCATTTAAATACATTTGTCGAGTTTTTCTGACCTTTTCGTCAAAATTCTAAGAGTGAGACTGATTTACAAACACTTTAACTTAGAATCAGACCAGAGGCCCTGCGTTTTTTCCATAAATCTTAATATTTTATTCAGAAATGTAGAAAAGATCAGCTTTTTGTATCTATCTCCACTAATTTCAAAATTGCTGTGTTGCGCAAAGGTTTGAAAGATTACGGTAACCGATGAGTCTTTAATCATTTATTTTGAGGGAATCTTTGGGGTAAAATAAACTAAGCCTGTCAACAAAATATATAAAAATATATTAATAATGATGTACAACAAATTCTGGCCCTGTAAATGTTTTTTTTAATGTTGTCCAACATGGACAAACTAATGGAGCAATACATAATTGATTGACTAATTAATAGATTTATGTGCATTTAATACATGGTTGATTGACATAATTATTGCCACTAATTATGGTATTGGTATGTAAATAAACCTTTAGTTCCATCACCGTCACAGCGGAGGGAAGACACGTAAATTAAACACATTGATCTTGAGTAGACACCTTTCTGCTGCATCTCCGCCCCGGGTCACACCCACCCTCCCTCTGTGTGTATGTCGACAGCCTGGGAACCCGACCAACCAAAGCTGTCACTTTGTCTGATCTGGTCGAAGGGTCACGACCGACAACTCGGATATTTATCAACACCGTGGCGACGTTCGCGATGATAGTGAGGAGACTTTGGCACCACTTGTCGGACGCGTAATTTGGTGCAGGATCGTTGGCACTGAGGTGGTTTTATGACTGTAAGTTGTTAATTATACCATTTAAAAGATGACTTTTCACAGTAAGAAATTCATGGACCACATACCGCACGTCCCTCCTCTGGCTCTCCATCGGTTCTCCATGGTCGACAGCGGTGCGCACTACAAGGATGCGCTCAGACGCGGGCTGCCGTTGCACCTGGACGCCGGGTATTTGGACGCCGTGCACGACCAGGTGTTGCCATACAGACGTATACCATGCTTCCCCCTTCACGGATCCATCGGCGTGTGCGAGTACCCCTTCGAACCGGCGTTCATCCGGAAAAGGAACGAAAGGGAGCGACACCGGGTGCGCTGCGTAAACGAGGGTTACGCGCGGCTGCGGGAGCATCTGCCGCAGGAGTTCGACGACAGACGGCTGAGCAAAGTGGAGACACTGAGGGCGGCCATTGACTATATCAAACACCTGCAGAGTCTGCTCGACATCAACGTGTCTAGTAGGATGGATGTCATGCCTCTTGGAGAAGCGCGCAGCCGTGCGCCTTTGCCGCACAGGGTGTACAACAGTGATGGAGAATCCAAAACTGGACTCAGCGACAGTGGGGATATAATATGACCAGAAAAACACCAAAAATGTGAAGCATGGAGGAAATACAGAACGACAGCCTGACTGCTTTATGCTACGGAGCAAGTACAGTACACTGTGTTTGAAAAATCTCTTCTTCTTCTTCACCCCAAGATGGCACTAAATCGTACACACTAACCCTAAACCATATCAGACAACTTCTCGATTCTTGCTCGTGTTTCTTTTTAAATAACGCATATGTAACTTGTATCACAAAATGTTTGTTTTTTTTTTACAAAAAAGACGCAGGAATTAGTATGGGAGTCTGGCTGATGATTCTGCAAAAAAAATGACCTTATATTTTACAGGGGCATCAAAAACACAGTTTAATATCTTGAAATCTTACCCTTGTATCAGCAAATACAGGCTTACGGCCACATGAGACCTAGGGGTCAGGAGGATCCGGCCCTAGTGATGTGGATTTTTTTCAAAGGACAATATTTCAGCATGAAACATGACTGATATTTGGTAATAACTTGTTGGAGTTGACATCAAAGTTTGGCTGATCTGGTGGTTGTATTCATTTGCAGCTCTGGCTGTTTTGGCTTGTCCAGATTGAAATGTGAAAACACTGCAGAATGGTAATCCAAGTTAAGGCACAGGGATTTTGCAAATGTTTGTCTTTAAAGTCGTTAAAATCAGGCCTTTAAGAAGGAAGAACACCTTTTTTTTTCCACCTCCTTTTTTCACATGGTTTCAAACACGCACGTCTTTCACCAGAACCAATTAAATGAGTGAGTCAAGAGTTCACGGTATTCATTGTGTTTGTCTTCAGCTGCCATTATAAAACTGTGCTCTAACAGTAGAACCTGTTGAGTCATCCTGAGGATAATGTAAATATAATGCCGTTCAAAATCACATTAATTATAGGTACACGCGTGCTAATAGAAAAAAGTCAATTGTTTTGTTTTGTCAGCAATGGTTTTATATATATAATCCAGGTCATCATGAAACTGAAATGGTGACTGTATTACAGTACAACAGGAAGGACCGGTTTCTGAAGCACAGAAATGACAACCTTTGTGTTACCTTGGAAAAATATCACTTGGAGTAAAGTAACATTTCCAGGCAGTAGTCAAGATCTCAGCGACTTCTGACTCGCTGGAACAATGGTTCGATTTTTGTCCGTATCTAAATCAAAGAAGACTAAAAGGCAAAACCAAAGATTAAGTTAAATCACAGTTCAAGTCATAGACAAAAACTTTTCATTTAATTAAAAAATAATAATAATTCAGACACAGTTCAAAGAGAAAAATATCTGTCCAAGTCATAAAAAAAATCTGGAAATTGCTGAAAGTATTACTCATCACATAAAACTTCAAAAAGATGCTGAAGATAAGACTTTGCAGATAAAGTCCATGTCAAGTCACTGCCAAAAACGTCAACGTGAGTCCAAGTCAACTGAGAAAAGGAAAAAAAAAAATTAAGTGAAGTCTGATTCCACATCATATAAGGATATTTTAAATTACATTTTTAAATTACATTTAATTAAGAAAAAAAAAATCAAATATAGTTCACTGGAACAGTTCACGTCATTAGGTTGATGATTTCAATCAGTGTTAAAATTGATTATAATTAACAAATAAATTAAACATCATTCAAGTACTTTGTTAAGATTTAAGAATTAAAGTTGCTCTCAGCCTGGAGGAACATCCACGAGAACCCAGTTTCTACTGTCTTTATGTTTCAGTGTTTATGTTTCCCACCTCCGCTGACCTGCAAGGAAGTCTCATGTTTTCTGATTTTCGATAATCCCACAACCACAAATTGGATTAGAGTCAGGGGGGAAGTAAACAAGATATTGTATATACATGCGAGAGGGATGTGGAAAGACCAGCAGAGTGTAGGTCCAGTCATCCGTAGTGTGAAAGAATGGCATTGACAGCCACGGAGGCATGACAAACCCTCAACTGAAAAAAAAGGTGTTTGGCTGAGGATTTGTGAATTAGACCCAAAATTTAACCAAGTGCTGGTACCCTGGGCGTGATGGTTCAGTGGCACCTCTGAAGATAAAGAATGTGAAGCTACTTAAATGAAAGCTTCTGCCATTATGGATGTTTTCTTTCCTGATTCACACCCTCTGATGCTAATCAGATTCCTGCACTGGTTAATGCTGCAGGCACTGCCTCATTGTACTGGGAACCGGAGTGTCTTTACCCACAGACCAGGACATCGTATTTACTGTAACTAAAGAAACACTTTTTTAAAAAATAGATCATATTATTGATTTACAGAGCATTCCAATTGCAAGAGCATCCAAGAAATATCCAAAAAAAATCATTTAAATACAAATAAAAATATAATATAAAAATATAAGAACTGAAGAGCTGGATGTAGCAGTCTATCATCTGCATAGAAACTGACTTTCTGTTTTTTTGTTTTCGATGAAGATGCAATAATAAAAAAATAATAATTAAAAAATCCTGGAAATGTCAACGCACCCAGAGACGTTTCATCTCTGTTTCCACCAATAACGTTGCATGTTAATTCTCAAGAAAACATTGCCAAGAAAACAGCAAAAAGTGTGTTATTTAAACAAAGGCGTGCAACAAAAATTGCCCTCAGCTTTCATGAATTTAAGCTTCTTGTTGAGCTCCTGGCAGAATAACAACATTTTTTCAGAAAGACACACAGGGCCACCATGCCCCCCCCCCACCTCACCTCCGCTGCCCCAGACTGTAGAGTAGTAAACACTCTAGGATAATGACAGCTCTTATTATGGATAAAGGCACAGAAATGAAAACAAGTCAAAGGTCAAACGCAGATTAACAAATCTCAACAGCTTGGGTATTCTTTTAAGGTTCGACACTTATTCCTCACAGGCAGCAGATTTGTTTTCCAGATGGAACCTGCTGCGTGCTCTCTGCTGCGTGTTTGCGGCCACACATTTGTGTAGCGCAGGAGGAAGGAACAACCTGCACACACGCAGGATGACTGGGCGAGATAACGCTTATCAGATGAAGTGGGATCAGTGCGGGACCACCGGGAAAGGTCGATACTACGTGTCGAGACACAGTGCCCTCATGAAGTGAGAGGCACACGCACGGAATCAGCAGACACACAAGAGATGCCACGTTTGTTCTGTGACTCTCTGAGAAACACTGTCCAAGAGTTTCAGACTCTGGCATTTGAGTTTGATTTCAGCAGTGGTTGGTACGGTTTGTCATCTGTAGGGGGCAGGGTTACATCAGTGGTGCTTCACAGAGACCAAAAGCAAAAAAACAAAATTAATTGCAATTTATTAATTTAAATACTTATTTACAGGCATTAATAACGCATTCAACTGCGGTGCATTCGGTGAAATGTCAGGTGGAAGTGCAGCGTGTGTTTCTGTACATGTGTGCCGGCAGTCAGAAGACCTGCAGTTCATCCAGCTGCTCCAAGAGGGCGTCTTTCTCCAGCTCCAACATGGAAATCTTATGGTTTCTGTGACTCACCTCCTGTTTATGGAGACACAGATTTTCTAAGATTAATTTGAAAAATCCTAAATTCATTAAAAAAATTAATAAAAAGTGTTTGTCCAAAGTCTAATGTTCCGCAAACGTCCTTAATATTTTGAAAGGATGGAATTGTTGATAAGCTAGAGATAAAAAATATAATTCTAAAATAAAAGTAATTCTAAAACAAAACCTTTTCTCATTTCGAGAAATTTGAATAACAATGCACTTGTTTTCTTTACCTGTGTCAGTACTGAATTTTGCCACCGGAGGTCGCTGTCCTCCATTGTTTCAGGTTGGGAAGCGTCGCCTTTGCAGGTGACATTGGGCTCACTCATGACTGAGCCTAACGATCCATTTACCCTCAGGATTCGAGACCTGAGAAGGCAGGAGTGAGCCTGGCGAGGGAGGAGGGAGGGAGGAGAGAGGTGGGAGAGAGCGAGGGAGGAGAAAGGTGGGAGGAGGAGGGGGGAGGCATGAGGTGAAATGATGACCAGACCTATAATCAGTGGTTCAACTGTTCAAACTGTCCAAAAGTACACTTTCACTTCATTTTCATCTTTTTTCAAAGGCACCTTTAATGTATCTTCCTGACAGGATTCGAACCTAGTTTTGGTTTCGACGTCGTCCTGTCGAACCCTGTTCTTCTCCAGCTGCTGCAGGTACCAGAACCGAGCCTTTTCCAGAACGTCCAGACCCGACCACAGGACGTCCTTCTCTTTCTCTAAATCCTGCAAACGCTTTATCTGGAATGAGAAGAAAAACAGAAAACGAACGTTCACAGGTGTCTCCTGGAGAACATGGTGAACAAATTCTAATGGTTATTCTAACCTGGTAAAAAGTGTCCAGTTTGGTTATGAATCCAGGTTTCATTTGTATTCCAGTTCACCAGAAGGGGTCTGAACAAACAATCCTGACCACCAACAATGAAGCCCACTCCCTGATGTACCCAGCTGAGGCCCATGGGCTTTGTCTTTTAGCAGATCCAATTTACAGAGCGGCGAGAGGCCTTTGGTTCTACTCTCTCTCTACACTCAGCTGGACATCACTGACCCAGACTGAAGAACTGTGATAGTAGTACAATCAGTCAACACACGACATGTGCACTGATCTAAATATGTATGGGTCAGTCTAAATATATATATATATATGTATATATGCATATATATACATATATATTCAAACGATTATTCTATAATCTTAATCTAATCTAATCTGATCTAAAACAAGATGACACTTTTAGGTTAATTAAGGCTCTATTTTGCAGACAACACTATGATATTTATATAATACTAGGTCTCATGTTTTTGTAAAATAATTTAAAAGAAATAGTAAAATAGTAATAGTAAAATCATCAATTGTAAAATAAAAAATAAAATAAAAAATCAACCAAATATTGTAAGACCTGCCTGCAGTACTTCCAAGGACCGCCTAGAGGTCGCAGACCCCTGTTTTATCATGTCCTTTACATTACACGGTTAGTATTTGATAAAAAAAAAAATCAATTATGGAGACAGTATTTTGCTTGGCTCACATTTTTTCCAAAATGGTCAACCAAAAACTATTCCTAGGTTTTAGAATTGAAATCACAGTATGAAGGCGCCAACACAAACCGTTGTAAAGTCATATTTCTGGTGAGACACTCCTCTGATACCAGTCAGGTTAATTATATAGTGGTAGATAATTATTTTAGATTAATTTTACTTCAAGAATGCAACAAGGTTTAGCCGTTTGCTAAGAAAACACAGGTCAACACAGGCGGGTTCATGCTGTAAATCATAATAACAGTAAAAGTTCCTTTAACATTGACAGATTTACAGTGGGTGGAATCTCCACCCACGTTTTAACAGAACACTGTGAGGGGAGAACCTGACATGTGGGAATGTGTCACTGTGGTTTGACTGAGGCACGGAACACGGATGAAAAAACCTGCACGACCACAAGACAAGTGTCGAAGATTAATTTACAGCAAGGAATGTTGTATTTTGTTGTGTCAATTTATGGAAAGGTTATATAATTAAATGATATTTTTAATTTCGCATTAGTTAAACACCAAACATGTGACTTAACACCTATATTATTAATGTTAGTAATCTTTATTTCATCAGGAAATTCCCATTCTTTGGCAGCTGCAAATACAAAACCTGGATGCAATTTAGACAACTACAACACGAGGCCCGCAGGCTGAATCTGGCCCACCAGGTTATTTTATGTGGCCCATCAAAGTGTGGTCCAGTTAAAATATTCTGCTCTTTTTTTCCTCTCTACTGTTATACAAAACTCTTATCATGTCCGCCTAAAAAAAAAAAAACCCAAACATATTTTCTATATATTGCCCGGTGGCTTCATCTCCAACAGCTTTTGTTAAAAATATAACATCTCTCTCTCTCTCTCTCAGCAATTAATCCAATCACTCTGGATTAAATAAATGCAAATATAATAAAGACACTAGTGTTTTGAGTCAAAACTCAATTCAATAATTAAGAAAAATGAAACACATCATCAGTGTTTGCGGTCAAACCAAAATAGCGACCGTTTGAGTCTCAGACCTGACGCAAACTTTATTGTGGTTTTTTGATCCTCAGGTCTATGAGTTTTCAAGTTACATCAGTGAATATTTGTCAATATTATGTCCCTGAGTTTGAAGGTTGAAGGTTGAAATTACAAGGATTAAAAAAAAAAATCCTTGTGAAGGGTTAGCAGAGTGGCGCAGCGGAAGCGTGCTGGGCCCATAACCCAGAGGTCGATGGATCGAAACCATCCTCTGCTAAAATTTTTGGGGCAGTGGTGGATTAGTGGTTAAGGAAATCGGATTTGGGTCCGGAAGATTTCAGGTTCGAGTCCACCAGCTGCCAAGTTACCACTGAGGTGCTCTGAGCAAGGCACCGTCCCCACACACTGCTCCGCCGGGCGCTTTGGTGATGGGTTAAAAACAGAGGTCACATTTGGTTGTGTGCTGTGTCACAATGACAAGTAGTTCACTTTCACTTCACTTGAAGTAAAGACTCGACTCCTGAACTTGGAAAACCTCAACAACAACATAGTGGAGATACTGATGATTGACTGTGAAGTACTTCACTACTACTACATGACAGCTTGAACACAACAAAACAACAGTTCAGTCCTGTATTTTCACACATACTGCACCGGGCCACTCCTTTGCGGTCATGTACTTGCTTGTACCAACATACAAAAAGTCTCATATATGTTGTACATACATCGCTGCATATACAGACATATAGTCAATAATTTGAAATCCTCACAAAATCTTATGGTACAAATTAAATTTGCGAGTTTGAGAATTTGCTGGCAACAATGGCCCAAAGTTTCCAAATGATGACAACAACTAAACAACTAAATTATTAAATTTGCTGGCAACAATGGCCCAAAGTTCCAAATGATGACAACTAAATTATTAGTAGTTTTTTATGTTTACTTTTTTTCCCAGAAGTTAACTAATATAAACAACAAACCTGGGAAGGTACAGGAGGTTTAGACATGACTGTTACATCAGGGAACAAACACTGTCATCACCGTGACAGTAAAACTAAAAAAAATATAAATAAATATTACACACATG